CCACTTCAGCTATTGTACCTTACTTTACTCCCTGCCCATGCTGCTCTCAAGAGTCACTGTATGCTTCTTGCTACTAGGACTACTAGGGAGGGGTGGGACCATATCTGCTAGGTAGAACTGGGATGGATCTGGGCTCCTCATCTGAGCTCTACTGCACCTTGGTGGAACAGATCAACCCATTCATTCATTCAAAAAAAAAAAAAAAAAAACTTCTAAATTATGTGGGGTGGAAAAGGAACCACCTAGCTTATTTTATGAGGCTAGCACAACTCTGCTTTAAAGATCGAGCAACAGAATACACCAATCCAGTCAGGTGAAGTACTGATGAGTAACCTTAAGTTTAAAACAAACACCACCCCTAGTTCTGTATAATAGTTTGCATATGATAGTTGGGAACCATTAGCTATAGATCATGGTTAAAGACAGTGTTCTTGATATATACAATTAACTTTATCCCTTCCTGAAGCCTTGCTAGAACTAATACAGGGGAAATCATGGTCCCCCCATTTGGGTTCTTGATCTTGTTAATAAAAGAATTGAAGAACAGACCCAAGCGGAATTCCAAGAATTTTGTTAGAGTTTATAAGAAAACCAAGGCAGGCCAGCTGTAAACTTCAGCTGCTGCCTGGAGGAAGAGGATGGAGAAGGAGAAAAGAGGCCATGCTGCTTATGCAGGCATGGAGGTCAGATGCATGGCTTGACAAGCAGCCGTATGGCAGAGAGGAAGGCTTTGGAGGAAGATAAGGATGGACGACCAAATCGTGGGAAACTCAACGCGTTAGTGAATGCATGCTCAGGGAAGAGCAGACTTCCCTGTCTGTAGAGCTGTGGTCTTGAAAGCTATTGCACTAGGGGCGGGGATACTAGGAAAGAAAACACAACCTCTCGTTAAAGTACTCATTATTCTACCCATTGAGCTCACCTTCCTAGGTGTGGTCCCTCAGCCAAGTGAATGACCTGGCTGATTGGAATGCTAGGTCTCCACTCAGGCCAGAGAGTCTATTCTTTTGACCAGGAGATTTTTCCAACTCCAAGAGAATGAGATCAAAGAGATCAAATGTTTGCCCCAGCGGACTGAAAGGAGAAAGAGAAGTCCTCCATGGGTGGGGGAAGTCAGCATTTAAGCTCTAGAAAGTGGACAGGTGGATGGAGATCACGGGCACTGCAGACTGGAGAAAGTGACCCCGCTGAATGCCTACAGAGGTGAGGAGCTGAGAGGAGCCGCCCATCCGGAAAGACTCAGGAGTCTGTCACCACCTTCTTAAAAAAAAAAACAAAAAAACAAAAAAACGGGAGTAAGGGCTCAATGGAATGAAAGCCCCAAGGTTGGTCGAAAGCTTACAGATGGAGAACTGGATCTCCTGGTTCCCTTTTCTATCTCAGAAGGAGACAAAAAAGAAAATAAGAATAATAAAATAAAATGAAAAACTCCCTTATTTTTATAGTCCCTAAACCAGGGGAGCTGCAGACCCCAGTGGGCCTGGGAAGAGGCCATCTCCGAATGGATTACAAGGGAGAAAATGATCATGAAGTTGAGTTATTGGCTTTCTACCATTGTAACGAATACCTGAAATAACCAACTTACAAACAGGAAAGGCTTGTTTGGACTCAAGGTTTGGAGGCTTCAGTCCACAATCGATTGGTCTTATTGCTTTTGGACCTGTGCTGAGGCCTCACATGATGGAGGGAGCATGGTAACAATGCCACTGACCCTGTGTCCAGGAAATGAGATGGAGTGGGGAGGTGGTCAGAGTGCCAATATCACTTTCAAGCCCCCAGTGACACGTTCTTCTTCTGCTAAGCCCCATCTCTTAAAGGTGCTGCCACCTCCCAGGACCACCAAGCTGGAGACGAAACTGTCAGCATGGTGGTGGTGCGGGAGTGCTTGCGATCTAAACAGTAACTGTGGGTGTCTGGTGGACTGAAGGCTGGCCAGGCACCGCTCTCTGTTCCCAGTGTTCCACGCCAGTCAACTCATTCGATCTCCAAAACCACCCACCGGAAGAAGAAGGAGCAAGAACAAAAACAGCCAAGACATGAAACAAAAAGAAAAAGAAAGCAAAGACCCCACTCGATATTAAGACATACTTAAAAACATTATAAGAATAAAACATTATAAGAATAAAAGTTTATTAGGAAAAGTTTAATGCATTATTTCCTGCTTATAACTACTTGGTAAGTCAAATTAATTAATTGAGCATATCAGATTAGTTCATACTAGAATAGCCATGTTAGGTTGGAAAAATATAGAAACTGACCCTTTTACATGAGAATAAAAAATACTATTTTTAACAATGGGCATTTCTAGCCCATAGGGGAAAATAATAATTCAGTAAAGGGTGTTTGGATAATTGACTATATACACACTTGGAAGACATAACTTCCAGATGGGTTAAGGACAAATCTAATATTAAAAACATGTTTAAAATCTTGGACTAAGAAAGGCTTTTGCAAATGAGACTCGCTTGGCGGCATGCTGTGTGACTTTGAGTACAATATTTAGTTTTCCAAAGGTCCATGGTTTTGTTGTTGTTGTTGTTGTGTTTTTAGCAAACAAATATAAAATCAATAGGATAGAGATGAACATTGAACAGAGTAGGTGTAATAACAGAATTACTTCAAAATGTACTCTGATCCTTTAACCCAAATCTCACTTGTTACGTGGTGCCTTGTGGCTTGTGGTTTTGTCCAGCTATGATTATCCCTGACCTGAAAATGTGTTTTCCTGAAGCTGGTCACAGCACAGCTGACTCTAATATACAGATCGTCCGACGTTGAGTCCTGTATCTCAGTGTCCCCTGGAGCGATAAGAAAGCATTCTACCTTGACACTTTTTAAAGATTCAAGATTTTGATTTATATATAGATGTGTCTATGCATGCCACATGAGTGCACGTGCCCCGGAGGCCACAAGAGGGTGTCGGATGCGTGGTTGTGTGATTGCGCAAAGTGCGCTGCCCAACCACGTGATCTATGTGCATGCGTGGAATAGCCACGTGGGCATGTGTGCACAGGTGCGGCTTGGCCTGTAAAAGACAGCCCCCATGTTCCCCTGCCCCCTTCACACACGTTTCCTTTCAGCAGGCCTGATCACGTCTGTTCTTTTCTCCTTGTCTTAATAAAACTCTTGTTAGTGGATTCTGTCATGTTTTGTGACTTTTCCACGCAGGGTAAGAGCACCACTAAAAACCATCAGTAACTGCCTGTGAATATGATTGGATCACTGATACAAATAAAGCCTAGAATTCTGGGTATTCGGTGATTCTTCTCTTTCAAGGATCAGACTGTTAGTATTATCTAATTTAACGGTTTGCCTTCAGATGCTCCCTCCAATGCTGCACTAAGGGAAAATGCTTTAGCAAGTAGAAGTGAACCTTTTATTTATTTTGGTTCTTTTGAGACAGGGTCTGACTGTGTAGCTCTGGCTATCCTGGAACTCACAATTGTAGACCAGGCTGGCCTTGAACTCACAGAGATCAGCCTGCCCCTGTCCCCTCTAAGTGCTGGGATTAAAGGCGTGTGCCACCATGCCTGGCTCAGAAGTGAACATTTTTAAGGTCTCTCGTTCTCTCCACTTTTGATCCTTTTTCCCACCCTTTTGGGCCAGACAAAGGTACTTCACTGGCAGAATTGTCATATTGGTGTTTGGGCTTTTTTTTCTTTTTTCCTTTCCCAGACAACCAATCCCCTGACAAAGTAACTGTATATCCCGACAGAGATTGCTACCTGTAGGCAGCAGAATCCAACTCAAGCCAGCTCAAGAAAATGCCTCCAGGAAGTGGCTTGAGCGGCCGGAAACTCAAGGGCTGGCAGGCTCCTCCAGCAGAGCTGTCTTCTCCACACTGCTAAGCCCGGCCCTGCCTGACCCTATGGGATGAACTCTTCCAGAATGAGGGAAATCCTTTTCAAGACAAGGGATGAGACGGCTAGACTAACAAATGGAATCGCTGTCCGCGCCGGTGACAGAGGACATCTCCTGCTTCAGCACGGCACACATATGATTGTCTCCTCAAGTTCATCATCTGTATCGAGGCATTGCAACATCACCACATTCTTGTTTTGGTCACGAAGCAGACTGGCTGCGTCTGTCTGCTTCAGTTCCTCTGATTTGTGTCTGTCATGAGGCAGAGGCAGAAGCAGAGGACAAGTTCCATTTTAATTCTTCCCCAAGTGATTCTCGTGGGGTACACTTTAAAATAAATAAATAAACAAATGAATATTTGCTGGTTTGTTTGTATGCTTGCTTGCTCTTTGAAGTTTTCTTAGAATACAGGACTGTTCGATATTTAAACATTGGGGGGGGGAATGAATGATGAACTCGTTTGAATTAAATTGATAAATTTAATTGATAAACTAAATAAATAAAGATTTGAACTAAAAAATAAATCTGCCAGGTTCACATATTCTTGGAGCTACAGAAGGGTCCTAAAGCTTGAGGGCTCGTGTCAGAAGAGCAAATCCTGCTTGAGCCCATGGTCTGCGGCAATTGCTCTTGTCATCCGATGAGGGACTGAATTTCCAACGACAGAGACTAGAGGAAGGCCCCATTTCCTGTGAAATCAGAATTGGCTTGTTCTCCATTGCATCACATAGCTAGCTAGGGCTCATTGGAAGTCACTCGTGGCGCTCCCGGACCCCCTGCCCTCAGGAAAGTGCGCGCAAGTGACTGTCTTTTCCCATTTGTCTGCCTCAGGACAGGTACCGTCTCTGGCATATTAAGTCTGTCCATCCTCTCTTCAGCTGTCCACCCCGCCCCTCCACAGCCTTTCCCCGCCAGCCAGCCATTAGCTGGCTTTGTCTCAGGAGCCTGCAGGAAAGTGGCTCTTGGTAACCATAGGCAACCACAAGCCCTCGCTAGCTATGTGAGCTAGCTCGGTGCGCTGTGTTTGCCAGGCGCAAACTAGCCGTTAACCAAGGAGGTGGGGGAAATGTGCTTTTAAGGTTTCCTTGTGCACTAACGTCACTGTCCTCCTCTTCTTCCCCGCTTCCCGATGTCTGCAGAACGACCAGTCCATGGGTGAGATGCAGATCATAGGAGGCGAGGATCTTTCAACACTGGCTGGAAAGGTTTGTTAATGTAACTTCTCAGGAGGCGAACACTTCTGGGGACGTCTATGTGACCTTCATGTCGGGTCAGAGCTCCAAATGCATTTCAGAAGCTCTCCTGGGTTTGCTAATTCATGCAAATAGATGTGTGAAGCCCTTTAATGATTTCTCCTCTCCAGAACACAGCCCTTAGAAAGCTGCTAGGCCGTGCCACAGACCAGATCCTTGAGGCTTCCAATTCCAGTCTCATTTCAGACAACAAAAGCCCGGGCCCTAGCTGGGCTTCTTTCTACTCACCTCAGAGGCACCCTTACCCCAAGGAAGCTTTCTCTTTGGTCTGCTTTTCTTCTGTTGCTTTGCAGCGAGCACTGTGGAAAGACATTTAAACGGTTTATTGAAACGTACAATGTGGTGTTGGGGGTGGGGGGTGCTTCTCGAGAGCACAGTTTTTAACCCTTTGCTGGAGGGCTAACACCCCCACCCCGACACAAAGAATGAAACCTACTAGATTTCAGAGGAGGGGGGGCAAGCGCGAAGGAATACCCTATTTTGATTTGGAGCTCCAAACTTGCCCTTGACTAATTATAAAGTGAAAGGACTATTTGGATTCTAACATAAATCCTGGGATTCCAAGGGAGGGCTGCTTTACAAAGCAGACGGTCCTGGTGGAGTGATTTGAAATGCAGATTCCCTGGGAGCGGAAAGCAATTAGCAATTGCAGAATTTGCTCCTCTTCACATATCCTGTTCTAGCCTGACCACCCACCCACCCCCGAAAGAAACAAACAAACAAACAAAACTACAGCTTTCTAAGAAGAATGGGTCAGTCTATTACACACAGCTATTACCATTACACAATTCCTCGGATCGGGAAAAGCAGAACAGCAGCTCATTTAATAAAATTGTGTATCATAATATTTGGAGCGCTACTGAGCTGCATGGACTCTGACTAGCAAACAGTTTCTTCTTCCTCTGAAGACAGCCTGCTGAGTTCCAGGAGTAGTAAATTTTGCTCTGTGGCAACTGCAGTGAACTTGTTAACATTAACCTATTACTGGGCATCTTTTGACATCGTTTAACATTACTATGTTACAGCAGGAAATGGCCTAAAAAAGCTAAAATACTCGAAGCAATTTCCTGAAATCCGTCGCTTTTAACGCCCTGGAAGGGTCCTTCTAGTCATTTCAGCTTAGTTCTTTCCACACAGTCACTACTACACAAGGTCTATATACTCTTTGTGCTTTTGCTGAGAGGATTGTCGAAATGACAACTCTTACAGGATTCCATCTGGCCTTCCTCTCTCCTACCTTTCCGTTTAGTTCTGAAGTGATTGCCCTCACAGACAAGCACAGGTGTACCCTCTGAGGGCTGGAGGTGGCGGTGGGAGGGGAGTGACTTCTTCCCAGCTGCAGAGCAGGCAGAAGGTACGGCAGGTCTTGGCTTTGGTGTCTCCTGCTGGAAATTACTGAGAGATCAAAGCGGGGGGCTGCATTCAGGGGGAAAGGTGGACAGTTAGCCAGGAGTGCCTACAAACAGGAGTCAACATCATCTACCTGCTGGCAAGACAGTTTCTCTCAGGCTACCTGATGCTATCTAATTATAGCTATAGCCTCCTGTTCGTGAAGAAACATTTCTATACTTTGAAGCAGGTACCAAGGAGAGCCCCTTGAGCCAAGAACTTCTAAGATAAACCAACAACGACTAGCCACTCGGCAACTGGCAAACGCACTTGATTTTAAAGAATGAAGTTCAGGGGCCTAGCTCCCAGCAGAGGGAAAGGCCAGCTAAGCCAGGGCAGACCGTCCCCCAACCACCATATCTTCAACTGGTCTCTGTGTTTATCTGCCTTTTACCTTCCTGGCTGTCTCCCAAGTCTTGACCCTCATTACCCGAAGTATAGTCTAGGCAGGCAAGGTTTTCTCTAAAGAGCCAAATATAAATATTTTAGACAGTGTGGACTAACAATCCCTGTTGCAGCTATTCGACTCTGTGGTAGCATGAGAGCAACTAGAGGTGATGCTGAAGCGGATGGATGTCGTCCAATAAAGCTTTGTTTACAAAACCAGGGATGAGGCCTAATGTGGTCCTGGGGCCATGGTCATTTCTAGGAGCTTGCTGGCTCTGGGTCCGCACCACCTAGGTCCTTAATAGGCCACCAAGGAGCTTATTAGAAATTCAGAATCTCAGGAGCCACACCAGAGCTCCTGATGGTAACCTCCTAGATGGCTCTTCTCACGTCAAGGTTTGCAAGGCTCTGGACATCCCACCCCAACCCACCACCTCCACTGAACCACCCTCTGAGCCCAACCTGCCTTCCTGAACTTCAACCTCTGGTTGACTCTTGCTAGCCTTCAAATCATTCTCCACAAAGCCACCCAAGGGGTCTTCTTAAAATACAAATTGGGCCATGCCACTTGCCCATTGAAAGCTTTCAATGGCCTCTCAATTAGCAGTTGCCAGATTTAACAAAAACCAAGTCATGCAGTCAAATTTGAACTTCAAATATTGAATAAATATTCAGTATAAATATATAGTAAATGTATTTTTTGTAACTGTGTCTTGTGTGGTATTTGGGACATACTTACTGTAATGATACAGCATGCAGGAGGCCTTGGCAGTTGGGCCAAGGTGCCCCACAGGTGAGGGAGACACACCACACAGATGCAGCAGTGGGTGGTATAACAGTGGAAAGTTACTCACGCCATACAGGCACAGCATTCACGTGGAGAGTTTATTTTGGGGGGAGGGTAGAGAGAATAGAGGATGGAGAGAGAGAAAGGGAAGGAAAGAGAGAGAAAGAGAAAGGGAGGGAAAGAGGGAAAGTGGAGGTGTGCACACCTCATGGTGAGTGGGAGGAAGGAAAAGAGGAAGAAGAAGGGAGGGTTGTTGTTTTTTTTTTTTTTTTAAAGGAAGCTTTCACATAAAATGACGGCAGGAGGCTGGGCGGCCCCAAGGGGTCGTTCAGAATGCTAACATTCCTCCATTTTGGTTATTATAAAAAGGCGAGTTATGGGTAGCAAGTGAAGGAAAAAGGGCACTGAATTCTTTAGACTGCTTCCTACTGACAAGGGGCAAAGTGGGAGGAGGACGTTGGGAGTCAGAGTCACACATGGTAGGAGGTGTGAGTGAAGAAGCATTCGGGTGGCTGTCATCATGGAGTCCTCTGGTGTCTGTTCCTTGAGGGAGCTGAGAAGGCAGGTTGCTAGGAGAAAAAAATAGATTGTTATCATGGGCCATCAGGTCTAGTCATGGGGAAAGTGATAACTGCCAGAAAGAATGGAATAGAGAAGTCCCCTGGTTGTACAGAAGAGGCGAGGGTGAATGAGTAAGACACAAGGGTGGTTATGCGCCTTATTGGGACATCTTGCAACCAGGTTCTGGTTGCTGGGTAGGTGCCCACTTGAGCCTGGAGGGGTGGTACCAGCAGTGAATTGAGAGATGAGGTGTTCTTTAGGAGTGCAGGAGCCATCACACCTGCTATTTCTCTGGAGGTGGGGGTGCATCTATCCTGTAAAAGTGTAAGAGTTAAGAGATACAGAGTTGTTTTATGAGTAGGGATGTGGGTGAAATCAGCCTGCCAGTATTTGTCCGGTTGGCATCTTCCGTTGGTGGTTGGCATCCTTGGAGCTGGTGCAGGGGCTGGCTTATCTGGAGGACCCCCGTGGATTGGCCTTGGCATGAGTCTGGCAGGAGGAGGGAAACTGCAAAATATGCTGGAAAAGGAGTGGGGTGAAAAATGGGCTCTGGAGACTTAGTTTTCATCAGACCAGATTTCTTGATACAGTAGCAGAACTTTTCCCAGAAACCTGCAGGTATCTGTAAGATAGCTGGAACAGATTTATATCTTGGTGTCATAGCAAAAGGGTTAAAAATTCATAGAAATTCAAGGACTCCTAAGAACTCTTTGTAGTCAATGCTCTATCTGTTTATCAAAACTACATTTATCAATGCTAAAATCTTGAACCTCCAAAGTTATATCTGGAACCAGTTTATCCTGTGAAGTCTATGAATGAGGCATGCCTGTCTGTACTTTTAATAGAAAACTTAACTAATGAGTTACCAGGGTGCTTTGGCGTTTGGCAGAGAGCTGTAAAATTGGCAAGTCTGTTACTATCTGGTAATCAAACACCATCAGATCTGAGAAAGATAAGTTAATAAGCAGAGTGAGGCAGTTTTCCAGATACTTAGGCAGCAATCCCAAGTCTCTCCATTGGGGTGCACAAGTCTCAGAAGCAGTATTTACCTTTAGCTAGCTGCTAGGCCCAGAAGATCTGACAGAATTTTTTTGTGGAGTAGGAATTTGGAGAGACTGAACCACCTTGACTTAGCAGCATGGGGCAATCAATCCCCCATTGCTCTACCTTTTCACAGTCTGGGCAGGATCTCAGCAGCAGTCCAAGGCAGCTTTTTGCTTCATGGCTGACCTTGCCATAAGCCCCCAGGTGGAAGTTCTGCAGCCATCCATCTTCTTCGAGAAGATACAGGATGCTGCCAGGAGCTGACCTGTCTCTCTATCATAAAAAGCTTTTATATTAAATGCCATATTCTCAGATCTCTAAAGGTGTTTGAGAACCAAGGGAACAAAATATGTTAGGTATATCTAAATTAACTTTGAGAGCATATATAAGTTAAATATGGATATAGAGTTTTCCTAATTAATTATAGCTTAATGAAGTTAGTAAGGACAAGGAGACTTACATTCTTAAGCATGAATAGACCTTAGATAAGGAGAGACTTTTTAAGCCATTGGCAGCAATATCATGATCTATTACCATTTTAAGGCCCTGTAGTTCTGATCTTTGAGTATAGCCAGATTATAATCCTGAATGATTTATAAGGAAATAATAATTTTTAAGGTCATATAATGCCTCTTTGGTTCTGCATAAAAAAGGTCAAGTGTCTTATCTTATTGCAGAACCATTTTAGTTAATAAATCTATCAATTGACAATTTTGGGTCCAGTTTCCTGGTATATCAATGGGCATTCAGTAGCCATTTTGTCCTCTGTGCCAGGAAGTTTACATTTAACTTAGCCTTTTAGCCTGTTTTGGGAGCAGGGAGCACAAGACAACATTTTTTCTTTCATAACTACTTCAAGCTGAAATGGGGCACAGATAGAGCCCAGGGGTGCTGAAAGGCTAGTCAAAGGTAAGGATGGATTTTAAGCCCATTTTTTACCCCACTCCTTTCCCAGCCTATTTTGCAGTTTTGCTCCTCCTGCCAGACTCATGCCAAGGCCAATAAATGGGTATTTATCAGAAGCATATGGTCATCTGAACTAGCCATAGAGACAGGGAATAATTACATTTGGCTGTACTGGTCCACATCACATCCGCC